ATTCGTCCAAATCCTAAGGATGCCGACTTGCTCACATCGCTACAACGACATTTGTATACACAGTTTCGTGATTTTTTCATGGTTAAAAATCAAGAAAACAAAATTTGGCTTACTTCCGCTTAACCAAAACCGAGCTTCTTGCAGATTAGTGATTAATTTTATGGACTGGAAGGTATAACCGAGGACATCAGCTTTACAAGCGCCAGATTTTGAGAAAAAATCAGTAGCACCAAAACCCGAGGTACGCCAAATATTCGAACTTTCGACCCTTTGTCTCTCGTATTTTATCCATATAAAAATTTTACTGACTGTGCAAGTGAATGTTGAATATGGAGAGTACAGTACAGTAGTCTACGCTCTTTCTGCATTCAAACTTTTCCAAAATGAAAGCACTTCTTGGGTTTTTTGTTCCCATCCGCTGCTACTTTATATCAAACCAAACAAATCGCAAGCGCTAAAAGAGCGAGAGCGCAGACTCAAGTATGTGTAAAAGACCCGAAGATTGAACATGCTTACCGTTATCAAATTTGATTTTTATTATCAGCAAGGTATCCATATCGGGGCCCAAGTTTATTTATTGAAATTAGACCGTTAATCAGAAAGTTATTGGGAAAATGTCGAAACCGTTCGCACCCGAAACGCTTTACAGTCATAACATATTGCACTAACAGTCACGAGAAAGACCTATCAAGTTGTCCGGAAATCAATGACCGCTTCTTGTGCGATCGCAGCAAAGTAGAATAAGGAATGTAAGAAACATATCGTTTGATAGAATAAAACAAAACTCCACAAGAATTTATCCGAACACATTTGCAAAAAGTTTAGTTTACATGGAGTTTAACCCTTTCGGACCTGGTGGTGGCAATTGCCACCATCAATTCAGAGATCTACTATACTGGCGCAAGAACATCATTTCACTACTCATTGCTCTCAAACGCTTCATATAGCCTTTGCCTTCCAAATGTAGCTTCGAGACCGGGTGTTCATTTGCTTCTCTGTGAATAGCATGTACATTTCTGTAAACAAGTGGATTTCAACCAATCAATAATTTGCGCCGGCTTGAGCACCGTTTCAGTATCTCGTTTATTAGCCAAAAAATATTCATAATATTATCATAATGTTTTAGTACGATGCTGAGCAAATGTAACTGTTAAGTGTTTGCGGGTCCACATGTTTCGCGGGAGATTTGAAAATCCAAAATAAACGCAAAACCAAAAAATTGAAAAATCAAAAAGAAATAGTTTATAAGGTTAAGCAGACTCCAAACTCCGCTATAATGTTATTCATATGGTAATAAGTAAAAAACACTAGGAGAGAGGCCTCTCGGCTCACTCGCAAAAACTCAGGTCCGAAAGGGTTAAGACGAATAAACAGTTTCAAATACCCATTTAGACCTCTGCTAACCTCAAAGTTGATCATGCAAATACTGTTCAAATAAGATATTCGTAGTACAGTTGCCGCATTTTTCAAAGCCAAATTGTATAAGATTGTCAAGAAAATAATGTCGGTTTTTATTTGCTTGCTATGGCACCGCAACCGAACCTAACCCAAGAACGCATTAGGGGAACTATTCGATACAGCAAAGCAAGCTCTACAAAATGGTGCTGGTGCTTCCGCATCAAAATTGTTCTTGGTGGAGTCTAAAACTAAAATCCAAATAGTTTCAAATGCCAAAAAACAGGAAAAATCAGATTTCCTTCCAGAAACTTTCAACAGAACTCTCAATCGCATGCATCTATACTATCGACATAAGACATTCATATATACAGTTGCTGTATTTTTCTCCTTGACTAGAAAGCTAGAAATCGACAATTTTCACATTTTTCCCAAAGCAATGGTGGGCCGTTGTGACATAAGCAGTTCTATACATAAGCCATTGTAAGTATAGCTGCAGATTTTTAGCCTTTTTTGAGCGCTAGTTTTCGAAAAATCTTGATTTTAGCAAGAAAACTCAAAAGAGAAAAAAATTTGATATTTCACGAAAACTAGCGCTCGAAAAAGCCTGAAAATTCATGACCATACTTACAAAGGTTTGTAGTATACAATGACCTATGTAGATGTATGCGATTGGGAGTCCCGTTGAAAGTTTCTGGACGAAAATCTGATTTCCACTTTTTTGGCATGAAATGTTTTGGATTTTAATTTTTGACTTCACGTGAAACAACCTTGGTACGGAAACATCAATTAAACCTCATGCGTTTTTGGGGTTCGTCCGGTTGCAGTGCCATAGGAAGCAAAAAAAACCGACAGTATTTTCTTAACAACCTAATTGGATAAAAGTTGGAAAAAGGCGTAGGTATTGGTTTTCCGGATTCTTTATCGTAAATTCGATATTTATCTGAAACTAGTGTTTGCAGAAGGGTTGGAAATCTGTGGTTTACTTTTGTATAGTTTGGAGTTATCTATGTGAGAGTATACCAGCATTGCATTTGCTGAAGCATGCCTACTTTTATTTTCTCAACTTCCAACTGTGGGAAAAATACAGCAACTGTACACATGTTTGCTGATTGGACAGTATATGCGTGACCAAGTTGGAGGTTCGCAGAAGCATTTTACCTGAAGTCTGATTTTTTGGGCATTTGAATTTTTCAGATTTTGATTTCGAACTCTACGTAGATAATACTTTTCCGTATGTTGTCTTATAGAACCTGCTCTCTTCTAACAAAATGATAAATTTTCTTACATCTTCTTTCTATCCTGCCACTATCGCGCAAGGAGCGGTCGTTAATTTCCGGACAACCTAACACCTGATCCAGACATTACACCTATAACTACATTGTCGTGACCTTGTCATTGCGATTTAAAGAATTTCATCATGAAATGCGGAAGTACTTTGATGTTGTAACAAACGCCCAATATGATGCCTATAATTCTTCTCGAGATTCACGACAACTGTCACGAGTTTTTCATGCGCGGGGAGACAAATCGAGAGCGGTATCAGCCAAAAATAGAATTGTCGTAGATGGCGTGATCGTCCGCCCCTTTGCCGGTTTCTCATATACGGCGTCCATTGGGGTTATCGTAACACTCTTTGCTTTTTTTATGATATGTACTCGAATAACTCAACAAACATCTTTGTACAGGCGCAATGGACACTTCACTTATCTTGCTATTAGAAGGAACGGTACAATAAATCATTTTCAGTCTAAATTTCCCATCAAATTCCAGTGTACATCTATCATTGTAAAGAAGTTCCGTCTTTTGTGGTATTTTCGTCAGATTAATAATCGAGCACTGAGTGTTCACTTAGCCCTAGTCTAGGATTGAAGCGAGAATGGCAATTGCAAATTTGGAAAATAAACCCTTGACGCTGCCAAAATTCATCACTAAGCTTTTCAAAAATAATTTGCCCGATGGGCGTAGAGGTTTTGAAGAAGATTACCAAGATCTCTTGACTAGAAAAGCAGCGCTGTAAATTTTTGTCGACATTTTTGATCAGAGCGCGCTTCTTTAGGGTTAAAATTTCTACTATTATACTTCGGCAACGCACGATATTACTCTTGTTTTTTCTCATATTTTCTACAACTTGTGCACGAAATACTCGAAGCACAAACTCGAAAAAATGCACAACATTGGCACAGGGCTCGGCAAGCAAGCTGGATATCGTTTTTGAGACAAAAAGCGGGGTTTCGTTTTTGTGGGCGAAATGAAAATTTGCGACGTTTTTTAAATCGACTTTTCGTTTTTTGGAGATTTTTTTCAAGGTATTATGGTCTAGGATCAAGGGGGAACTTCGTAAAAATTCGCAAAAGTCAAGGGGGATTTCGTGTTTTACATGTTCAACTAGCCACCTCGTGCCGAGCCCAGCACCGGCAATCGCCGGAGTTTTTTTTTGAGAAGATTTTTGTAAAGATCAGAAATTTTTTTCTAGTTGAAAGGGCCTAGCATAACCAATGTCTTTAGGATCATTTAGTTGGATGCCTCCCAAAGCTTTAGCGGGTTTATGACGCTTTATGGAAAAAGAAGAACTCTTCAATAAAAGTTATTTGAAACTTTTAAATCTATTTGATTTTAAATTTTGATATTTTAAAATGCATATCAAGTGATTACATTCATTCAAAAGAGAGAAACAGTCATTTGCGCAATTTTCAACTCTTGTAGACCACTCAATGAAGTCTCCACCCTCTTATACTCTCATGAAACTTCTGGAAGAAACATATGTAGCTGTCGTATAAGTAATTATTCATGTGTCTTATGTTGGGTTAGACTTTCAGAACTAGTTATTTCGATCGCAATTTTTTAATCGTCAATCTATTATGAGCTTCCAGACACCCTCCATACGTAAAGGGCGGTCTATACATAGTCTAAAAAAGTAGTTCGTCGTGAGACAATGACCACATGACGTAGAATGAACATTCGAGTTCAGTGACTGTGTAAGGTAAGACTTGATCGCGTTTCACCAGTGTACGACTAAATATCAAGATCTTGTCTGTTTTATTTATGAAGTCTTGGCTTCTGGCAGCAACTAGCTGATTTAATTCACGTCAAAGTTATGATATTTTTTTTGCAATTAGTTAAAATTGTTGGTAATCATCTCTTCCATTTATAAACCTCTATTTGCTAATGCGATTTGATGAATTGTCATGGCAAATGCATAAAATTCGCAAAATTGGCATCTAGCACGATTTATCGCGAAATTGTAAAAATCAAAAAATATCGATCATAAATTTTTCTTGACATGGTTCTTGAAAATGCAAATACTGATTTTTCAATTTGATTGATGAGCTAATTCAAAGCCAAGAATTTCAAGGCAAAAAATCTGAGCCTTTCGCTCCTCCCCTTTCACTTAGGCATCTGCGAATAATCCCCACTGATGCTTCAGACCCCTGAAACTTCCTCTAAATGTGATTTTTTGCACTTTTGTCCAATGGTCCGACACATTCCGGCTATTCACGTGCGGCTTTTCATTGTGCTTAACTCTCTGCCCGTCCGAATTGCTGATAACAGCACATTTACTGATATGGGAAACGAACTGCCTATCTACACTTCCCCCTTTTGCTCAACCCCATTTTCACTCGCGTACTCAACTCGTACGCACACACAACTCAGTCTCTGCTGGTGGTGTTTTTGGGAACGGTGGTTCGCGAATATAATTTCTTGAGCCATGTAACAGTCTATTGCTTGCTTACTCTGTCTGCTTAATGGTTCTGGTAATATTTCTGGACATCTGTCCTAATTTTGTAAGTTTTACAAAGCCTTTACCTTGTTCTATCCTCTCCCCCCCCCCCTCAATGATGCTAGAATCTTCACGAACAAACCGGGTCAAACCGGATGTCAGCATTTCTCACAGCCTTACTCATGCATTTCTCGAACACCTGGGGCATCATTTTTCTCATTGCTCACGAATGCAGGAACTCTTTTTTTTGTTCATACGCAGCCAACGTAAAATGGATTCCTTTTCTATTTCTAAATAAAAATATTCTAGTTTTTGTTGGCGAAGAAATCACTGTTTTCTAAGAAATCATATGCGTGGGCTTGTTTGCCTTTAGTGACTAACTTAACTTCTTCCTTGACGCTTACATCCCACATAAATCCGAGAAAATCGCTGATTAGCTTGTTTTCCATGTTTTTTGTTGTATTTCGAGGAATTTCCTTCTTTTGCGCCTGTATAAATTGACTGAATCATCTTATAAGTCTTCAGATAACTTCCATCCTCCTCATCACTTGGACGAGTTCACCGCTTCTGACAATATGGTTTTCTCACCTTCTAGCAGTGTTTCAGGTGTGTAAATTCATTTTCACTTCTTTATTTACTATTCACTCATACGGCGCACTAGGAAAAATAAAAGAAAAAGAAAACGCTATGAAATTTGAGCCAACCACTTCTGAAACTAGGGAAATAAATGTGACTTGAGAAGAGAAATTAGTCACAGAGTAAAGAATCTATATGTATCGTACAATATAACATTTTTTGCGGGTGAAAAATTGGAAAATATTATATTTATGCCTTTTATGTAATTTGTAGCCTGGTCAGATTCCGCTAAATCAAAGAACGCCGTGCTATCGGCACATGATGGCACGTCTCAGCGCATTAACTTTCCGTGCGAGAACGGCGATTTTTCGGTTTTACCGTTAAAAAATTGAGATCACTGAAAGCGAAATCTTTGGGGTTTAAAAATTGAAGATAGTGACTGATAAGTATAATTTCAGCCACTCTGAGCCCGCTCCGAAAGTTTTCGGGTATTATGCGCAAGTCCTCCTCTACACCTCCTGCTTCGCCATCATCGCCAGCTCCAGGATCTCCAAGGTGAGTCCTTTAGTAGGATTTTAAAATTTGAAAAAATCAAAAATTCTCAATATTTAGCTGGTGTCTTTGGCTTGTAGCTGCCCTTCAAGGCCATGAAATTAACAGCGAAGAACGACGAAGAATTGCCGATGATATTGAACGAATGAACGAAGTTGAGCAAGATAACTTCGTCGAGTTTCTTGAGGTCTGTCGGAAATTTTTCCATCTTGGTTTTTTATAAAAATTTTCTTTCAAATTTAGACAGGAGTAGCTCCATCGACATTGGAAAACAACGCTTGTAAGCAATTTGTCTGCAATACTACTGATCTTTGCAATGCACTAGTCTGTAGGGAACCCCAGGTAAGATTTTTTTCAGAAATTTTCTAAAAAATTTACTATGACCGAGATAACAAAGAAATGCTATTTTGACTGATGTCAGCTGCATAGGAAAAAATGCTATAAATACGAAGACCAGTAATAATGATAAGAGTATTGAGAGTCATTTGTCAATATATTCTTCTTCCAAAAAAGTTTATCGAGTTTTTTTTATGGAGGTCTTTGCATCTGCAGCAGAAATCATAATACCCTATTAATGAAGATTATGACACGCGAAGCTGATTTACTGATTTTGAAATATTCTAGGGCACATTCAAAATCACACTTTTTACTATCTTGAGAGGATCATGGAATCAAAGAGCTTTTTGAATAATAAAATCAAACAAAATCAAATTTTTAAATGTTCTAGGATCTCATAAATTTATGGGAAAAGGTCTATCACCAGATTCTACCTCTTCTTCAAAGCGTACTCTATCCCATACAGGTAATTAATACTTGTTTTTCCAATGTTTTTTGTGGACCATCAAATTTGTAATTTTTAGCGACGCCGACCTGAATTCGATATTCGTCGCACAATTCTTACGATATTCCGTGACAAAGTACTTAGCAAGGTTGGTTATTGTTCCAGCAAGCTTTATTCAGATAAAAAATATTGATTATTTTTTCAAATTGAGTGCTTTTCTAGGTGCTGCGCGATGTCCATGAACGGATTCCGGTACTGGAGCCGATGCTGTTTACCGTCCTTCTTGAGACAGAAAACACTTCCGAAGAGTCAAAGAATTTTGCCATTCTGGCCAATCGGGTGATGGGCAAAGGGGTAAGTTCAAAAAATTTTTTGTTCCAGAACCAGAAAATAAATTATTTGTTTCTAGGAACAACCCGCACAACCTGCGTCCCGAATCCGTTCCCGAACTCTACCTAACAAACCGATCAAAAGAGTGTCGTGGGACGATCTGAGAAAATCTGCAACGTTCAGCGCATAAACTTTTTATTGATTAGAGATGATAACATGTCCGCGACCTTGCGGACGAGTTTCCGTGTTTTTGCGATGTTGACATTGTACCTCTTCGTACATCCATTGTGGCGTACATTGATTCTCAGCTACGCCCGGTGCAATACAGGTGTTAGTGTATGTGTATAAGGAAATTCCTTTTTTGTATTGTTTTTTCATTTCTTTAGTTCACATTTCTGATGTAGTGCCAGAGCTGCGCGTGCCAGCGCCGTACTCGAATATCGATCGATTAATGCGAGGAGAGTCCACGAGTGCGCTGGCAAGGCGTTGGCACGGCGCTGGAACGCGAGTGAGTGATTCTAAACACAGCTTAGCAGTAGGAGCTGTGGATACTCAATTTTTGTTTCTTTTTGTCATCATTTTTGCAGTTTTTTACTTTCAAGTTCTCTAAGAATCATTCCTCATTGTCATTTATTGATTTTACTGATTGTTTTCAATAGTATAATACGCTTCAAGCATAAAGTTCATTGAAGACACTTCGTATGCACATTGAGACCATGGCAATCAGTAGAAAAGAGAAAATACACAAAATATTCGGGCAAGAAGCACAGGCGAAAAGTGCCAGGAAATTTCAGCGCAGTGGGAAGGGGCAAATATATTGCGGGGAGAAAATATTGATGTAATTTAAGGATGCCGGAGGTAGGGAAAGGGGGGGGGGCTAGAGACAAAAATGTTTTTCTATTCGTCGTTCACAAGGTTCACATTCAACTCGACAACAATAATGAAATTTGCAATTACATTGATCTGCTTCGAAATAGACTCGACGTTCGAAACCACGATTGCAGCATAACTGAAAATGGATCGATCGATAAATGGGTTACTGTAGCATTACTGTAGTATATTGAAATCAGGCATACCAATTGACATCCATCAACACCTTGTGAAGTCACATTGCATTCTCTTCCTTTTGTGCCGAGAATACCTCTTTCCGGATCAGGATCGCAAAAATCAGGCGATGGGCTCACGTAAATCTGCAATAACGAACAAGATATATAACCTAGAGTCATTTGTAACTTAATATGTGAGACTGCACACTAAGCCTACGAGCGACGGCACCCTTACTAGTAACTTTCCAGTGAAACATTTTTTAGCCTAACAAAGTGTACAAATGTGTTCTATTGACTAACATGTAATCAAGAAAAACAAAAGAGACAAAGAAACAAGCAGAAATCACTGGAAACGAGCAGGTTCTAGTTTTGTTGTTCGTCAGTTAGTGTGCTTGGTGTGCACTACACATATCAAATTACGAATGACTCGACGATATGTGCAATTGCACAATTTGAGAATATAAAAAAATCGTTGAACGATCGAGCTTTATTCGTCATTTTACTTGGGCTTCTGCAGTGTCAAGTGATTCTTAACGAGTTTTTAGTACCAAAAGTGAAAATTGTTCATTTCTATTATATTTATTAAATTGTTGCAAAAATAGTGGCCGTCTGCGAGTTTTCATTTTAACGTGCTATCCACTTTCGAACGACTCTACATTTTCCAATGCGATAAAGACCATAAGAGGCAGCAGACCTTTCGCAATTTAACGCACGTCTGCTTATACTCATATCACAAACGATTAGAAAAATATGGATTAATGAACAAAGAGGCTTTTCCTAAAACCTGTTTTTAACAAATCACAACTCCTTTCAAAGTTAGTTTGTATGAAAAGTGGACTGCCTTGTTGCAGTAATCCAGTAGTACAAAAGAAAGATGGAAAGAATTTGGACAAAGAAGACCTCAAGAAAGAAGTAAAAATGTCAGCTTTTCAACATTTTTTCGTGGCCTCAAAGTCCCAAATTATGGAGTTTTCGAAATCTCTGCGTGCTGAAGAGGCAAATAAATTCTGCAAAGTGGGTAACCTTGCTTACAGTAATGAGCAAAGCTTCGATGATTGTCTTCTTCAGTATAGATTTATGGCTCATAGAATGACAGAAATGGCTACCCATGTTGAGGCGCCGAAATCTCAGTCTAGATGATTTCAAACAATATCTAACACAGTAGCTAGATTTCCGGAAGTGCCGTTTATTTGCATCTGAATTCTAATTTTGGATGCTGTTATTTAAAGCTCAGTAACTTTATAACAAATAAGGGTGGAAATTCGCTTCAATAAGTGTCAGATAGATATAGTGCACAAAACGTGCTTTCTAACGGTATGCTGCGTCTGTTTCAAAAAAAATTTTGATGGGAAAATGTTGTCCTGAGAAAAGGCTTGGAACGGCTACCTTGCATCAGTTTGACATTTTTGCAGCAAAAAGAGTATAATTTCATAATTTCCACTAAAAACAGTAATTAATCAATATATCAAATTATTTTGAAACTGAACCCAATACGATTACTCGAAATGAAAGTAGAAATAATTCTCATTGCCTCATTCCTTGTTTTTTGGGATCTGCTACTGCTATAGCATAAGATTTGCCTATAAATCTTCCTTAGAAACCCGGTATGTTAAAAATTTTGAGTTGAATTAAGTAAAGCAATTCTCTATAGTGATTTCTTTACAACAAAAATGTGGGAAGCTTCGAAAATAAAGTTACAGATATTTTATCGCTTTCCAGTCTGGAATTTCCCGTTTCAACCAGTTGAGAAATGGTAAAAGTTTGTGTTTTCTACTGTTATTGGTCCATAAGTTCATCTGAACGAATGAAATTAACGAAAGTAGCGCAAATCCTGTGGCCGTATTCATCAACGAACCCAGTGGGTTCCGGAACCCATTGGGTTAGTGCTTTTGATGAATATCGATTCTATACCAGGGTAGAATCGATATTCATCAAAAGCACTAAGCCAGTGGGTTCCGGAACCCACAGGGTTCGTTGATGAATACGGCCACTGGAACGTGCTGAAGCCAGTTTCTGCAGTCAAAACCTCCGCAACTGCTCAAATTGAGGAAAGATAATGGGGAAGAGTACGATATGGAGACGCGAAAGTTCTTTGCACCAATTTCAAAAACTCATAATTTTTTGTGTTCTCGAAGGATTTCATGGGCTTTACAATAGTTTTAAAAGAGTTTTGAATCCGCAAGCACTGCAGAAACATAAGCTATAGAAAAGAATCACTGGAATTTTGATTTTTCAAAGGTTGCCAAAAGTCTTAAAGTTGCACTAAAAACCTTGAAAAAATGGACTATCAGTTTTACGACCTGCTCTTTTCACCTGAAGAAGTTTCGTGTTGTTTGAGTGCCTCTGCCGAAAGGTATAATTTTGGAGAAAAATGCCAAAAAAACAAGTTTTCCGTTTTGTTCTGCTTGCTTGAAAAAAGCTTTTCTAAAGGAAAGCTCAACCAACACACTTCTTGCTCATACGAAAAGAGCAGGTCATAAAACAAATTAAAAGGCCAACTTTTCCCATTTTTAGTGTGTTTTTCGGATTTTTGGCAATCCTACGCAGAAAAATTAAAATTTGAATAATTCTCTTCACAACTCCTATCTTCGTAGTATATGAGTGATCAAAAGTAACATAGGAAGTTATGGATTTTTGAAAATAGTAGAATGAACTTCCGGACCAACCAATAGATTGTAAAAATCTATGAGTATTTGCTTCATTAGTATGATGAAGTTTTCAAACTGAAACATGATACAAATGCTATAAAAATTGATGGTAAATTCTTACATCCGCATGCAAGATCTCATTTCTTGCGTTTTATGAAGTGACTGACACATTTAGTCGCATCTTTAGGACGTGTACATGCTAAAAATTATTTTCTGACGTAACTGTTAAAAAAGAGTCTTGTAAACGTTCAATCGCAAAAAAATGAAACGTCATTGTTTCAAAGAAATTGAAAACAGCACGTCACGTGTAAGAAAACTATTTTGAAATCACGTTCACGTTAAATCTTATGACGTGCGCTTTTTCCTTCTGTCATCTTCAAAAAAGCTAATTTTCAGATAATAATTTTCCTTCTACGTTGACAGGTATGGCAACTCTTAAAGAGAGATTATCATGCTGTTCTTTGAATGTTTTGATGTTAAGCGGTTCTGATAGAATTTTTTTTGAAGACTTTCTCACGTGACTAGAGAAACCACCTGATTTGAAGAAGAAAATAGGTTCATGGTACAGAAAGATTTCTCAAGGGAATTGAACTCAAGAGGATGAAATACTCTTTTTTGAGTCGCACTTGTTTCATCCGGTGTTTCAATGAACTTAATGAGTCAATCTATCGGACTCCTGTAGTTACCTTGAAATAGACGGGTATATGAGTCAGTTCATTTTTCAGATAGTGCGCAAAAAAAGATTTCACCGTAGAAGTTGTCACCGAAACAGTTTTTAGGCTGGGGCTTACTGATAACTTTCCATCGAAAACAAGCTTTCAAAACCGTACATCACAATCTAGCTAAATGGTCTATATGTAAATGGAGTTTTCAATGTCAGCCTGCGTATGATATCTCCTGGACACGTACCGTACTGCTACCGTAACCGCGCATGCGTGAATAAAATGTCAGCGCTGCTCGAAGTTGTGGGACGATATTAGCAGACTACAGCAGTGAGCCTAGTTATTATTTTTGAGCTCCTGAGCTATATTTGAGTTGGTGTGAAACAAAACCGCAAAACCTGCAAAACCGTAAAAAATTTGGCAAGGAAGCCAAAAACAGCATTCGGGTAGGTTTGGGTACAATTATGATTTTTTTGTGCTGACTACGAAACCTCAGCCTAAGAGGCAGATATGACTTATATTAGCAAAGGAATTCAAGTCAAAACTCTAGACCCAGATATATTCTCTGTGAACGGACCAATCAGCTCAGTCATAGAGTACGGGGTCTAGGGTAAAGTTTTGAAATAAACTTTTTGATTACATGAATCATATGAGATGCTACTTGGGCAATGACTTGGCAAAGGCATCTCAAAACGTTTGCACATCGAAGAAACCGTAACGTAACTTCGTGGACAGTCCTGATATCATATTTTGTTGATTTTTTTTTGACTTTCTGAGATATTCATCATTGAATGGCGAAATTCTACTCCTTCACATGTTTTCTTAGTGGAGCTCTAGCTCTTAGTTCGTTTCTCACAGTCTAAACTCTTCAAAAAGTCAGTAATTGCAAACTTACCAAGTCGGCGTTGGTGTGTCTTTTGAACTGTGAGTTTTTCATAACGATTCGTGGTTGAGCATCTTCTTCCTCAATAGTGACCTCCGATGCACCATCAAATTTATCCTTTATGACCATACCAATCTCCCTAAAGAAGATTAATCGCAGTTTTGCTAGAAAATTCGAAGTAGGGCTGCGTATAAAGTTGCCCATGCCTGCGCCATAACGCTGTGCTGGCGCCGTGCCGTAACGTCGATTGATCAATACGGGGCCATCGATGTTTTGGCACGGTGCTGACACAGCACTGGAACGATGCTGGCACAGCAACGGTACACAGGCAACTCTGTGCGCTATCTCAACCATTACCTAAAGCTCGGCAGTGTGTCCCAGCAAGTTTTTATCTCGCACGAACCGCTCATTCCATGACATTTGCACTCACGGCGTAGGCTCTTCTCCAGCACCTAAATCGGTCACATCAGACCACAGATAAACAATAACTGCTTGCTAAATTTAGTCAAAAAACCATAAACCATAGTATTTTTTCTGCGATATCGATGGTCGTTAGGTCATAAAGATCGCAAAATGCGAATTCCGACCCCAGAATGCCCGACAAACATCGGTCAATGGACACAGTGCGATAAGATGTGTAAGCTTTGGCCGCAGCGAAAATCATTTAGGGCCATCTTCACTGATAATTTGTTATGCGGGTTCATTGGGGACAAGTAAAGAAAGTTTTAGGGTCTTGCATGATCAATAGCTGGACGACAAGTTACAACAAATAGATTTTTCTTCTAAAAATGCACATACCGTTTAACTCAAAAATTGTAAGATACCTCTTGTAGATAAGTATGCCTATGCCTATTGATAAGTTGCTAAAATCTTGTGTTTTCGAATTGAATACTGTTGGTCCCTTAACGCTACTACACCACAAATCATGAGACTTGCTATGTAGCGATCGAAAGCTTTTGAAGTGCTATTTTATTTCGAAAATTAGAGAAAATAGAATTGGAACTAACAAAACAGGTACGAGAAATAAAATTTGGTGAACAAGTTTTAAGCAATTCGTAAAAGCTCCTTGACATCTTTTGAGACATGTACAGAAAATTCTAGCTCTTTGCAAATTTGCAAGTCGCATGATTTTGAAGTTAAAAAATCCACCTCAAAAGACGGACTTATCTACAAGACTTGAGGATACAAAATAACTCTAACTTTCTCTAAAGGTACTCTAGCTCGGACCATGTTCAGGTGCAAATATGGTGATTTAAGATATCTGTTTCTATAGTGCAAATCACATATGAGTAGCAAATCTGTCCTAATTTTTTTCATGAATATGAAGACGATAAAACCAAACACAAACATTTATAATCTGTCTCCTTGGCACAAGAATTAATTCGTTGGAAGCTTCTTTACTGTCAATATCAGGCTTGCGTCATCAGAGATATAAAAAATGTATCTCAAAATCATAAAAATATTCAGTGAAGCTTTGATTTTAACTTGCTTTACTCACTGATCGCCATAATCATTAGTAGATATGACAGCTATGACTCAGGTGATGTTTATATCACACCGTATGATTTAGATCATACGCTAAGCGAAAAAATAAAGCTGGATAAGATCGTTTTAAACACTGGAAGAATATAAGAAAATTAGAAAACCAAATATTATGAAATAACCCGTGGTTTTTCAAACATGATCAGGGGATACCTCGCCATATGACAACAAAAAATTCTGCGATTCGTTCTGCGATCTTTTGTGCAAAGAGAACACCTACTTCTCAGAATTATTCAATTTATGAGACATATGAATTCAAGAAAGGTTTGTACCTCGAGCTAGGAAAAAGTTCGTAGTCAAAATAACTAGCATGAATATGTATGTAAGCAATCAAGGCGTGGGAAGCCTGTCAGTCGAAACTTGGAAATCTTACCGTCGAGCTTAGCCTGTTAGATAGGGAAACAAAAAGAAAAAAACAGACGGGAAAAGACTGAACCAAGATTGCCCCAAAAAGCCTGAAAAAAGGTTATTTTCATAAATCTTGAATTTCTAAAGAGTTCGTTAATCTTATTCTCCTCACGATTCTGAACAAAGAAGACAGGTTGAAAGAAAGGAAGCGCTGTTACAGATTGCAGCTGGAAGCTGTGTGAACGGTTTTTTACTGTTATTTTTCTTCCTAATCATTTCTTTATATCCAAAGTTATGTGCAAATGTTACTGTAAGAAAACTTAATCAATATATATGTTGTAACTCCTCAAACCTATTCTTCAAGGCCCATTAACTTTATACAAGAGTTTAACGTAAGTATCCCAATTTTTTTCTTTTCTTTCATTATCTTCGCTTCATCCGAATCAATTCGTGATCAATTCATAGTTCGCTTTCTTTATCACATGAACAATCCTCTTATAACCGACGGTTCTAATGCTTCATTAGGAAATATGGGGTGTGTACTTTATGGTCAAGAGCGCTACTCGTTGACAACCAACTCCTAGGTATGAAGTCTACCTAGAAAAAGTAAGTTAACTTTTTTCAAGCTTGTTCTCCTGATGTTTGAATTTCTGGTTATTTGGAAAATGAGGAGGAAATTACAGTACTGTTTTCTTTTTGGGTCAAAAATATCTGAAGAGGCTGGTCCCCATAAATTCTAAGAGCAAGGTTTTTTCTAAGGCACATAACTTTTCGTGTACTTGATTTGCCTGTTAAAAGCCCAGCCATACAAACCGACATTTTTGCTACAATAAGATTGATACAACATCATGAAAAGAATGGCAAAGTTTTGGGTTAAGATCTGAAAAATCTGACATATCGTATCGTTCGTAGTACTCGGTTACTGAAGTCAACTTATGTCCTGTAAGGTGGACCTAAACAGAGCCAAAACACAAAAAAAAGAAAAAACTTAAACGTTGTAGACGCCAAACGTCGACTTCTAAGAAGATTAGGGCCCCTTGATCTCGAAAAGAATTGCTGTCATTGCTACAAGCAACTACGAGATTGCTTGAGAAACACTACTTTTCAGATGAATTGAAAATTTTGCTGAAATGGAAATTGAAAGTATCTCTTTGTATGAAGCAAAAAAAGATAGAAGAAAAAGAGTGCAGTCGCGCCGAAAGAACGATCGACAACGGCGACATTGGTTGTCGGTCTCTTGTCATTTTTTTGTCTGCATGTCGATTTGGAAAGAAGGAAACCATCCAGAACACTTCATCATTCCTTAAATGATCACCGATCACAGGATAATATTCAGATGTTCAATGCTGCTTGCTTTTTAGCGTCGTCTATGAATGAGAATGGAACTTCAGCTGTTCTCTAGTTATACTACTCCAAAGAACATCTTGTCCTAGCGGTAACATATGATGGCCCAAAAACTTGGCTTTAAGTCCTCACTGACAATACAATAGCACTCGATCAACACTCATTGTTGCGTGTTATAAACACCCACAGCTGGTGCGTCCAAGCTTGTTGTGAAAAAAAAGAGAAATCCGGACGATTTTCTAGGTAGTTAAATAAAAGAAGTTTTTGCCCTCTATTTTGATCTTTCCGCAAATCGGGCAGAATGATGATATCCAAGCACTCTTTAATGTTCTAAATGCAAGGTTTCCTTCTCTTTCAGCAGTTAGTTATCGTATTGATTTACCACATGATGTTTAAAAAAACTCTCCAAGATTTTGAACTCGTCGTTGTTGATTTGTGTAACTTTGGATGATCCTCAAAAATTTCGTAAAGTTATAAAAAAGTTCGACCACATGAAAACGAAGCAAACTTTGTTCAGTGCAAATGTGTTTCAGGTCTAACTCTTTCGCAGCTTTTTAAAATTATTTTCCGGAAGCTCTTATTTCCAAAAAATTTGGTAAAACAAAATGCATCAAACCTTACAAAATCTTAGAAAATCTGCTTCAAAAATAATTCGTTATCGCACCTTGACTTTGCAAAGCATTCAAACCTTTACTATTTCAAAATATTCAATTTAGTATTCTTTAATACAGCGACAAAATAAGATCGTAGAAGTTTACCGGCAAACATTTGGGCTTAAAACTTCTGCATATAATTCAACAGCTACAAAGTTTTGGAATTTATAACTGTCAGAAAGAAGAAGAAAATGTGTGTCGAAATAGTTTGGAGCATTTTCTGTCTACATTCTACCAGATTTGAGGATAAGTCTGAAAAAAAAGTTATTATTACTTTTGACAAACCCTAGTACGAAAGCAAGGTAGAAATGTGTGCATTTGCACTACAACTGTACTCCCAGTGGGTATTACCTTCGCCCTTATGTTTTTCATAATAACGCAACCATAACATACTTACGAACTTTTATCAAACGAAAACAAGATAACTGAGGAATTCCAACCAAACAAAAATTTGTAAACATGTGTTTTTAGTCTCATAGTGTGTCCCGATCGCGATAAGCGTTCCATTCTAAAATAAACCGCGTGGCTCTAAGGTCTACATGATTGAGTGCAAAATACTAGCATTATAACAGTCAGAGATGATGAGAGTAGAAGACACACATGGTCCTGGTTCACGGACCATGCTAGCTTGCGGACGTGAAGCAACGCGTTCGCGATGCAAGCGCGCGTCAGGCTGATTTTCGAGACCTCCCAAATGAAGCAGACTATGTATGCGCTTAAGAAGTGCAATTACACACATTTTTAATTTACAGTGCTTCAAAGAACACAAAATGGGCCTTTGCAGCTACCTGAGCCATACCGTAGCGCACCAGTATGTGTCAGGTTATTTCACTATTTTTATTGCATTTATTATTTTCATTTTTATTCATTTATCTATTTTTTGCCATTTTGCTATTTTACTCTTTTCACGCATCATTCCTTTCACCCATTCTCTAGTATCTCTGGTTGGCAGAATGCCAATCGGATGTGGAGCAAGCTGAAAAGGCCTAAGCGTTATTAACTGAGTCGGAGTTGTCGATTTAAGCTTCAGCAAATTGGCTGATGGGTTGGATAATCAGTTGGCATAATAAAATATTAAAAAATTCTAATTGATATTTGATGGTGGGGGAATAGCTCTGTCAATGTCAGATGCCCAATAAAATGAAAAACACTGAATAAGGAAATAGTCTGTCCTCTTCCACAACGATATCACGTGAGTTACAACAATATTGTCATCAGAACTGTCAGTTATGAGAATTCTGCAAAAGCAGCACGTCTGCTACTTTTTTGATCTCGGAATATATTATATTGCTTTCCCAATATAGAAATCGTTCCGCCCTTAAGCAGAACCAAGTTTTTTTTTCAGAATGACGAAGACGATCAAACAAAGAGATCTTACGACCGTTCAAAAAATCAGCTGTAGAAATTTGTTGATTGAAAATGCGAGTTAATTTGAAAAGTTGAGGGGAATTCTGCTATTCGATTGATAAATTGACGTTAACAATTTTCCTTGAAGTTTTGCCAAATTTGGTAAGTTTGCGCTTATAAAAACTTCGAATTAGTTTCTAAAGGTTTAGGAAATTTTG